ATTTACACAGAATAGACAACATTCTTGGTTACATTCTCCTAAGATCTGGAATCAGAACCACAAGAAACCAACCTGCTCCACAGAACCTGGCTCCAGAAGTCCTAGGAAAGGGGATATTGGCATCCTGATAGGAGCCATAGGCAGTGGTGACCCGCGCAAATGTTGGTAAGGGTGGTGTGACGGAGTTTGGGAGTGCAAATGGATTGCTGGAAGCACTGTCTTCTTGGTTCTGAAATGTAAAAAGCAAACTGAAAAACAACCTATCTTAAAACTGAATTATGAAAAAAGGTTTCAATGTTACAAAATCAGAGAGCCCAAGATGGCAGGGAGAAGAAATTAAAGAAGACACCAACACAGCAGTTGGTACAATTTCATGATGCCCACCACGAAAGACTCAAGGCAGGAGACGAGCTGACGCAGGCAGGGCTCCAAACAGCTCTGGTTTCGTTTCACTTTTTGCAGTGAAGTGTCCTTCAGGATCTAGAAAAGACCCAAAATACAGTCAGAAACAGTACTGTATTAGCGAAGCCTGGTGGCACATGCCTGTAATTTCAGAACTTGGGAGACTGAGGCAGGAGGATTGCCATGAATTTGTTTGAATCCAGCCTGGGTTACACAGTGAGTCTGAAGGTCAACCTGGATTACAAATCAAGACTCTGTATCATAAAGAGAGAGGGAGGGAATGAGGGAAGGTGGGAGAGAGGAAGGAAGGGAAGGAGGGAGGGCAGGTGGGCACCATAATCCCTGGCTGGTTTTATTCTGCCAAATAGTCAGAAACATAGCATGCAGGGGGCTGGAGCACAATCAAGTTTGAGGCTTTCAGCAAACACATTCCTATCTTCTCTGAGGGGTTAAAGAGAAGGATGCCTTCCTAAGCCTCCTAGAGAAGAGGCTCTTTGCAGCCAAGGTGCCATACATGCTGGCTTTGACAGGGCAGGTCCTAGTAACAGAACAAGTACCCTCTCTCTGGTCAATTCTGTTTCTTGGTCTTTCCCAACCTCACTCATTCACAGGAAATGGCAGCACCCTGGAGGTAACACCTGCTCGCCTGGACTGAAAGCTGCTCTGGAGATGCAAGCCAGGGAGAACAGATTTTTCCTCAGTAAAAATTACTTTTTTTCCCCCATAATTTTATTGAGAAATAAATAGCAGTGAGAATGTTTCAAATCAAATTGGTAGGATGGTTTCAATAATTAACACACTGCATACTGCCTTCCTAGTGGTTGTTTGTTGTACAAGACGCAGACATGATATCCTATTTACAAACACTATTAGAACAAATCCCTTTATTCATTGAACTAAGAGAGTGTAGCTGTATATCTATCCGAACCATTTTGAATACACAGATACAAAAATTGTCATTCATCTGTATCCCCTTTTTTTTAGTTCCGTCATTTAAATATTAAAGGTGTGTGAACTCAGCAAAATATTCCAAAATAGTCCTGTAGTTCATAATAGTATTGGGTCTTCCACTTGACTAGCAATGTCAGAAGTTGTTGACCTGAGTCCCCTACAGCTCATCATAACAACATGGCTTTACTTCTTATACTTCATTTTTATAATTAAGACTCAGGACATACGAGAACTTGTACTGTAACATCATGTAACTTGGTAGTGTCCCAAATTTTCTG